ATTACACTTTTTTATTGAGGTCAAGATTGCTGGAGTAATCCATAGTTTAAGGCTCCGAGCAACGATTACTTTTTTTTAGTGGCGCGTGTTTGTCTAAAACAGAGTTAAAGCTACGGAAAGAGTCTTTATGTAATTAATTTTTATTACCATTAAAAAAATAATTTTTTTATCCCAGTTTATTTGTAAAAAATCGTTTTTGAATTAAATACTATCAAGTTTCTTGAAATTTTGAAGGAAAATATTGCTTTAACGAAAATAATTTTTTTTGCTTTTAAAAGATGGATAAATTAAAAACTGTGGCGAATGATCGATAATTTAAAAACTGTGGCGATATTCTGATAGTTAGATTGCCGGAGAAAATATCTTTACAAATTGAGTTAGAAAATATATTATCAATTAAAGTTCTTGAGTGATTTGTAAATCTTTTCGGTAAGGATATAAAAGGAAGAAAGTTGTTAGAGGTAACGGTATTTAAATACTCCGCAATGGAACTATTTGAGTTTGCTTTAATAAGGTCTATATTAAAGTCACCCTTAAAAAGATGGTTTTATTCTTCTCAAGGGAAAGTTTTTCAAATAAAACAGCTATATATTAAAAAATTAAATTCATCAATATCCATATTAGGATGGCGATAGATTCATCCTACTATGATACTAGACTTTTTAGGGAAGATAATTTAAACAAACACTGACTCTCGGAATTGGGGTTTATACATAAGTAAATCATTTCTAGGTTTATAAATTAGTTTTTCAGAAATATAAATTAAATCTCCTCCAAATGATGTTTCAATCCAAATGAGGTTGGAGTATTTTCGTAAACATATCCATTAAGATTTATAGGAACTGTCGGTAATAAATCATATTTCAGCTTGGATTCCGTTATTCCGATAACGCTGAATTCGTAACTAATTAGATGAAGAAGTGAATTTAATTCATCAAAATGTTCAACTAATGAAGCAATGTTCAAATGAAGAAGAGAAAAATAATTATTTGTGATTTTTGAAGAGTTAAAGTTTTAAATATCTATATATTTACAATTAATTGGATTGTCAACTACGTTCATATCATCATCGTCTTTATTATTTAGTTGATAAGAGAAAAAGTTTTTAAATAAGATTATTAGTAACTTAAACAACAATAAAATAGCAGGGGAGAATACACTAAAATATAAAAATGACGATAATTAAGATAATAATATTAGCAATACGAATACTAATAAATACTAATAATAAAAGAATCACTAATAAATACTAATAATAAAATCACGACAATAACAACAATAGTGACAGTAATACAAATAGCAGCAGTAGCAATATGTAATAAAAACAAAAATATGAATACTGTAATTATAATCAACACTCAATAATAAAAAGTACGATAATAAAACTAATAATAAAATAATTTATAATATATATAAGTAAAAAAAAGAAAAGGAAGCAAATAAGCTAAAGAAGAAAAAAAAAAAAAAGTTAAAGTAAATACAATAAAACTTTAAATATTAGCACAAAAAATAATGCTTTTTAAACTTCTTTCCAACTTTAAACTTCTATCTTTCAAACTTTAAACTTCTTTCAGACTTTCTTTCAGACGTGATTTTTTCTTTCAAATGATTTTAAAAGTTACTAACAAAAAAAGTTCTTTTTAAAAATTCGAATTTTTTTAATACTTTTTATTTCTTTATAGTAGGTATTTTGCCACTCAAATTCTTATCACTTTTTTAAATTTATATTACTGGCATTAATATCAAATACCTTAATCTTCAATTAAATTTATAAATTCTCTTTTTTTATTCAAATAATTTACTGCTTTTTTCTTTTTTTCTTTTTCCTTTTCTTTTTTTTTTTCTTTTATTTTTATTATCCGTTACACATCGGCCATCCACGAAAACCTTGTCAAATACAATTCTTATACGAGGGAGACAAAATATTCTCAAATTTGAAATTATTCGAAGTCAAATTTGATACTATATCCTATATTTTATTAAGTTCTATGTTGAAAACGAATATTACACTAGGGGGATATGATATTCTAAGTAAAAATTTAATTTTAAATCCTATATAACAATTTTGTCAAATACCATTCTTATACAAGAGGATTATGATATTTTAAGTCAAAATTTGATAGTAAATCCTATATTTTACTAACTTCTTTGTCAAATACAATTCTAATACAAGGGGATATGATATTCTAAGTAAAAATTTAATACTATATTCTATGATTTACTAACTTCTTTGTCAAATACGATTCTTATCTGAGGGGGATATGATAATATAAGTAAAGAATTAAGACCAAATCCTATATTTTACTAACTTCTTTGCCAAATACGATTCTTATACGAGGGGGATATGATATTCTAAGTCAAAATTTGATAATATACCCTATATTTTATTAAGTTCTATGTCGAAAACGAATATTACACAAGAGGGATATGATATTCTAAGTAAAAATTTAATACTAAATCCTATATTTTACTAACTTCTTTGTCAAATACAATTCTTAAATGAGAGGGATATGATATTCTTAGTGAAAATTTAATACTAAATCCTATATATCACTAACTTCTTTGTCAAATACGATTCTTATACGAGGGGGATATGTTATTCTAAGTAAAAATTGATATATCGGATTTAATTTTTATACAAATTGAATTGATATAAGTTTTTTAATCAAATTCATTTCTGAATAAAAATATTTTCCCAAATAAAAAATAATTAATTTTTGTTAAATTTTTTTCTTAATATGACCGGGTTTTAAAAAATAATTAACAATAACAACGTTTTTGAAAAGATTGTTTTTTAAGAATCAAAGTTTTCAATTATTTCGAAATTAACTCTTATCGTGGAAGACATATCTAAAAACATGATATTAATCCAAATATTTTTATTTTTTATTTATGAAGGCGTTTTATTTATTTAAAAATATTAACGAAATTAGGTAAAAAGTTGATAAATCAAAAAAAACTAAAATTAATTATATTAACAACTTACATTAGCAAGAGAATGTTTGATCATGTAAATAAAGCACTTGTTTTTTTAGCATAACCAATGCATTCCAAGTGAAACCATCAATGTGGAATGGAGTTATCACATTTTATCTATAAAATAGTAGTGGTTTTTTGGGTAATATAACGTCTTTTAGTTGATAAAAATAAACATGAAATAATGAAGCAAATATCATTAAAAACAAAAAAAAAATTAATACAAAAAATAATTTTGTTACAAATTGACTGAAACAATACTTTAACTTCAATGTTTTTATATGACCGGTGCAGAATTTAAAAATACACAAAATGAGAATGAATGCCTTTTTATATTTTAGTTTGTGTTTTCGTCCAGGCCATTTGTTTGAGGATGATAGACAGCCGTTTTTTGTCTCTCTATTCCTAACAACCTATACATTTCGTTGTTTAACTAGAGAGATAGTGAAAATCTAGTAAACTCATCGAAGTACTTTTGTTTTAAATTAAAGTTTTAAATATATATATATATATATATATATATATATATATATATATATATATATATATATATATATATATATATATATATATATATATATAAGTCCTTACCTCATTACAAAACTCTGTACCATTATCAGAAAGTATTAGAGATGGAAACCCAAATGTAGTTACTAACTTATAAATGCGGTAGTGGTGTAGTGGTAGAGCGCTCGCTTCATGAACAAGTGGTTCCAAGTTCAATCCCCACCACGTCCCTAGTAGAACCGCGCTCAACTCGTTTCTCCGTGCAGCGGCCTTGTTTGTCAAGGTTCGTGTTTCGGAGTTATAGAGTTGAGAGAGGGTTATAGACACAAATAAGTAGCCTCCTCGTCTGTAGTGGCCTTCTCGGCCTTGAGGGGGTGAATTAAAATTAAAAAAAAAAACTTAATTATCGCCTTTGCTACCGTTAAACCCTCTTTATATGGCAATGCATAAGCAACAGGCCACTTTGAAAATAAATCTGTGCAGCTCATAAAATATTTATTCCCATTGATGTTTCCGTAAACGGGCCAGCAAAATCTATCCCAACAATTTCCCACACTCGTGTAGTATAAAAAATTAGCTCAAATGATGCTGCTGTATTTGGTTTAGTCAGTATTTTAGCTAAAACTCTTATTAAGTTAATTATTTTACAAAATTCTATATTTATAGAGTATGGAAAAAAGGCAATAGAAAAATTTTGTTTTATACTTGCGCTATTTTGTTGTACCTTTATTGAATGTAAAAGTTCTGATACAGAAAGCAGCTGACCAGATTTTTGATAAATAATATTTATAATTACTAGTAAACCTTTAGTTAAAAACTATGATAAAAAAACATATGTAATATAGAGAAATCAGTCACCCTGTTGTCTGCGTATATCTGGTAGACATTGGATTTTATAGGGTGTATATCTTGGTGTATAGGGTATATATCTTGGTATATAGGGTATATATCTTATAGGGTGTATATCTTGGTGTATAGGGTATATAGGGTATATATCTTGGTGTAGGGTGTATATCTTAGTAGACATAGGGTTTTATCCTATTAATCCTTTAAAGGATTTTAAAACAGTCAAGCTATTTTAAATAACTTGTAAAAAAAAAAAAGAAAGGATTTAAAACAATTAAGTTATTTTAAATAATTTATAAAAACAATATTTAAACATTGAAAATCAGGAATTCTATAGATGTAAAATTGTTAAAAGTTAACTTCCCTTTGAAAAGCAAACAATTTACCCATTTTATAATGTCTCCGCTGATATTAGGCCAATAATATTTTTCCATAATTTTGGTTTTTGTTTTTGTTAGGTCATGCTCCGCTGTAAATAATTTTGTTTTTTCTTTTTGGTCCACAATAACATCTGCATATACAGAATTTTCACAAACAGTCACTTTTTGCTTGAGCTTACCATCTACAAATAATTAACAATTTAAAAAACAGTTTCGCTAAAGAAATGTAAAACTTTTTTATTGTTAACCATCATACTTTCTACACAATATTTTTTCTCTACACTTCGAAACCAATATTTATCATTTTTACCAAGACAAGGTGGATATATGTTTTCCGTCAAATATTGTATAAAATTATCAAAGTATTATCTAAGTATAAAGTTTTCTTCCTTCTTTTTCCATTATAGGCTGGATAATAATTAAAAATATGTATTGCTATATACTAATAACTTTTAAAATTTATATTTATACACTAACACATCCGGCATATAACTTAATAAAATATTGTTTCTATTTAATATGTATTATAAGAACATCATTGAACTCTTTCTAGTGACTAGGCATTTAGAAAGGTGTTAGAATACCAATGTAGAAAACTATATATTCCTATTAAATCAATTAAGTAATAAAAATATAAAAAAATATTTTACACAACTTGTGTATTTGTCAAAGTCTTTTTATTTTTTATAATATTTTAACTATATTATTTTTATTTTTCTAAATCTTATAATTTAAAATTACTAGTTGTTCTTCTGCGAAACGTCATATTCTATTACAGACAACAACATAAATAATGTAATTATTTCTTTTTAAATAATTTTAAATACTAGTTGATTATCATTTAAATAGAGATCAACCTATGCTATTTGTAATGATTTGTCTTTAGAACTGTTTTCATATTCACTAAAATTAACACTCAAAAGATCCTAGTGGTAAAAAAAAATTATAAGAGTCATAATAAAACTAATATAATCAAAACAATTTATATATGTCATAATATAATTATTAGGCATAAAAAATAAAAAAAGAAATCAATTTTCAATAAAAAAATCAAGAAACCTTCGTTCCTACTACCAGATTTTTATTTAAAACAATAAAAAATATATATATACATACAATAATAACAATAACAATTTGTTATAATTTATTTAAAAAATAACAACAGGCAGTAAGAGAAACCACCAGCAAGTAAAAGTTGCATTATATATGAAGCAGATTTTGATTAGTGGAATAGTTTTCTATAGCCCCATGGGGTTAAACTTATTGAGCACCTAATGTACTGCCTAGACACAGCAAATAAATAATAAATAAAATAGAAAAAAAATTATTACCTAAAAAAAAATCATCGTCTTCATCAGACAATTTATTCACTAACTTGTTGGTTCTGAAATGAAATCAATCATTTAATCAATCAATTAACCTGATTGCCATTGGCTTTGCCAATAGTATATTACAAAATTGCATAAATTAGGATTAGGATTTTCCAATTAATGGAACTAATGCAATCTAGTATAACCTAGAAGCAATCACAACAATACTAATCAGTAAAAAATATAAAATGTATGAAAATTTATTCTTGCTTTATTCCTGGATTAATCAGTTAATTAAAAAAATATCAACTAATACCAAATTTAGTTTTGAACTTTATAAAATTACTCATTTCATTAGTCAATCTTGAAAATCATACCTTTGTAAAGAGTAAGAACTTAACAATACTTCAGCCTAGTAAAATAATACACATATATATATATATATATATACATATATATACATATACATATATATATATACATATATATATATATATATATATACATATATATATATACATATATATATATATATATATATATATATATATATATATATATATATATATATATATATATATATATATATATATATATATATATATATATATATATATATATATATATATATATATATATATATATATATATATATATATATATATATATATGTATATATATATATATATTAAGGTGGGTCAAAAAAATTTTTTTTCTTGTTACAGGCTCTAAACATTGCTAATAGTTATTAATATTGATACTATCAAATATGAGAATGACTGAGATTTAAAGAGCGATTTAAATATGAGAATGATTATGATTTAAAGGGCGATTTAAATACAAGAATGATTGTGATTTAAAGGGCGCAACTTTATTGGGAAAATTACCGGTACCCTAATATTTTGGAGAAAAAAAGTTTTTTAAAAGTAGGTCAACCTGGTACTCCAAAGAAGCGAAATTTTATAAAAAATTCGAAAATAATAATTGTTTTATTAAAATCATAATGCTGAAAAAAACTGTCATTAAAAAACATGCAAAAATGCCCGTTTTTCACTTTCAGTTAAAAAACTATAGTTATTATGCAATAAAATCTAAAATAATAATTTTTATATGAAAAAAAATTTTTTTTTGAATAATAATAGGGCCTGCTAATTTTTGTAATTATAGTTGCGGGTGGAAGACATTGTTCAATTCATAAAAGTAAATACTTTCCTAAATTAGTACATAAAAAGCAACTTTCTAGACCATAGCCAGGTTAGCAACTCTAAAAAAAAATTTTATGACCCACCCTAATATATATATATAGCTCTCTGAGTTAGGGTAGGCATTTGGCAATACTGACCTTAAAGTGTTCGAGGTTGGCGATTTTTTATTGATTTCATTTTTATTTTTAGTGACACCTTTGAGAAAAGTTTTTTTACTTCTGCCTATCCATGTCTATATTAAACTAATAATGTTAAAAATATGAATAATAATGATGACTGATTGATTTCATTTAGAAATCAACTGATCATAATGCTTAATTACAAGATTTTATCATAACATACTACAAGGTTTGATTATTATGCAGAATGTTGCAATTTAATAAACAATACTTTATATCTTGAGATTCCTTCCAATTCAGCAAACAGACACAATATTGCTTTAGGGACCAAGACTTTAAATGTAAAATTATTATGCTAAATAAAAAAAAAAAGAAATTAAACTTTTCTTTATTTCAAAATAATATTAAGCAACTTAAACAACTTTAAGTTGCTTAATATTATTTTAATAGATAAACAATTTCTTACTTGCATATAAGGTAAAATACTTACCTTGAAATTGTCAGAGAATTTGCCTAAAGCCAACAATAGATCATCGTTTTGTTGATTTGTCAGTAAATACATCAAATCTTGGTCCATAAGGTTCCTTTTATTTTAAAATTAAATTGAATCTTGTAACTATGTTTTCTAATGTCTACAAAATATAACCTTAAATCATCTGCAAAAAGTAAACTACAAATACTTGATAAAATTTAAAAAAAATAATAATAAAGTTAACATAATATTGGTAAAATTTAAAATAAAACTTACTTTTTGGTTTCGTACCAAAACTATATATAATATGTCTGTAACTGTATACCTATGAGGCAATAATTACTAAAAAAACTTGAAATCAAAAGAATGGTAATTTTTTTTAGGAATTTTGACATCAAACATGATGTCAAAATTCCTAAAAAAAAATTTTTTTTTTTAGGAATTTTGACATCATGTTTGAATACTTATATATTTAAAGTTATTTTTATTATTCAATTTTCTAAATTATATATGAAAGAAATAAGCAATTTTTAACAATAACAGTGACATAAATTAGACTTACTTGACCCACAAAAATTGACTTTCAATGCTGATAATGAACTTTCACAAATTGATTGCTTTGTGAATTTTTGAAAAGCTAAATAATATACACATATATTATTACACATATATACACACAAACAGACACACACATATTTATATCTATACACATACATAATAGCTAATACAAATATAGTGTAACAATAATACCTCTTTCAACTATAACAACTTTTACTTGATAAGAAATACCACTTATATTGAGTCTATTATGTAAAAGAATATATCTATTAAATTTGATTTATATATAATCAAACTAAAGACAAATTAAAAACTAAAAAAACATTTTATACCAGTGCATGTTTTGCATATATCTTGAGCAGATCATTTTCCCATAATTTATAACATCCAAAATGATATTTATCATTATCAGTAGATTTTTTACACAAAACACAAATTACCAAAATTTCCTCCATTGTATATATCCAAACTTAATTAAAAACTAATATTATTTTATATACTCGAATATATATGAATTAAAACAAAACAAATAAATAGATTTATACTTTAATGATATATATATATATATATATATATATATATATATATATATATATATATATATATATATATATATATATATATATAGATATATATATCTATATCTATATATATATATATATATATATATATATATATATATATATATATATAAATATATATATATATATATATATGTATATATATATATATATATATATATATATATATATATATATATATATATATATATATATATATATATATATATGTAGAAGACCGTAAGATCTTGTTGTCCAGAACCGCTAAACAGTGTACGCGTTAACATTTTAAACGAATATTTATTAAACCTTAAAGCTGTAAAATTAAAAAACAAAAAGAAACAAAAAAAAATAAAAAAATTAGCATGATTGAAAAATCAGGAAACATATTTTCTCATCAGAACAGAAAAGTTTAAACTCGATTAGCTATGACTCTCTATGATAATTTTTGTTTGCTAAAATTAAGTCAACTTCTTAGGGTGGAATGCAAGAAGTGATCTTGAGTGAAGTTCGACTAAAACTTTGAAGTATAACTTTATACTTTAAACTATTAACTTACAAAAATAAATTAAAAAGTGTTACAAAAATAATAAATCTATTTTTTTAATTTATATACATATATATACATATGTATATATATATATATATATATATATATATATATATATATATATATAATATATATATATATATATATATATATATATATATATATATATATGTAGAAGACCGTAAGATCTTGTTGTCCAGAAACCCTAAACATTGTACGCGTTAACATTTTCAACGAATATTTATTAAATCTCAAAGTTGTAAAATTAAAAAAAAAAAAAAAAAAAAAAAAAATACTTTTATTAATTTTGAACATAAAATTTAGGTGTTAAATATTTATTTAGTACATATTTAGTATATTTTACTTAGTAAAAAAAGCTTGGGAGGGTATATAGCGGTTCTCATTGGATATAAATCTGATTGCATGTTTTTGCATATTAAAAAGGTTTTTCAATTTATTTTTATTGGTACTACAGCAAGCAATTTTAGCGTTGTTAAGATAGGATAGAATAAAGTAAAAAATTTAAAAATTTTAAACGACTTGAATTTTAAAAAAGGTTTTGTCCAATAAAGCAGAGCAATACTACTTAATATTTTACCTTTAATATATTTTATATGAACTCTCCATGTTATATTTTTGTCAATGAGTTCTCCCAGAAATTTTAATGAAACATCTTCTTTTATTTTGCAATTATTACTACAAAGATTTGTAATGTTTGCTCTAAATTATTCAGCAAGGTATAGTCGTTCATTGTTTACAGTTTTAAATGTTTTTATATAATTGTGAGCATAAAATATGTTAGTATCATCTGGAAACAAAATTGTGCTTATTACCTTACAAGATTTCCTTAAGTCATTGATTCATATTAGAAATAAGAGCGGTCCTAATATAAATGCTTGTGGTACTACACACGATACATACATATTGTTAGTTTTTCCGTAATTATGAGAAATGTATTCTACCTATTTGACAGGTAGCTTTTAAGCCATTTAGGGTTGAGTGTTTAATACAGTAGTTTTTTAATTTGGTTAATAAAATATAATGATTTACAGTATCAAAAAGCTGAGATCATTAAAAGACTTATCATGAACAAGATGAACAATTACCTGATCAGTAGAATGACCCAATATGAATTAAAATTGTTTTTTATAAAGTATGTTATTAATATTGAAGAAATAGTACAGTCTTTTTTCAGTTGTTTTAAAAAAGGTCTAGAATTTGGGATACAAGTTGCATTTCTAGTTATTAGAACTAGTCAGCTAATGGTTTAAAAAAATTAAGTTTACATAGGAGTATTTCTTGATTTATCAAAAGCATTTGATAAAGTGGATTATTGCATCTGATTTGATAAAATAGACATGACAGAATATGTAATAAAATTTATATTTTGATTGAAAACTTACCAACAGAAAGCGATAATTGCATGATGTCCAATCTGGAATAATGAATGTCTTATGTAGAGTCCCGCAAGGATTGATTCTGGTTGACTTCCGCTTTAAACATATATAAATGAATTCTGTAATGCATCTTTAAAACTGAATTCAGGATATCAAGAAAATATATGCGGAAATGAATATTGAGTTAAATTTAAAAAAAAAAACAATTGGTTTGATTTAACAAACTTTCATATAATACCTAGTTTATTTGCCTAATTTTCTCATATAAAACATATCCAGTCAAAAATTACGAAAACCATAAAATTGATGTATTAAATATACACTGATGTTAATACATAAAGTCTTAAATTAATCAATTACAGGCTAATTCATAGCTTTATTAGCTATGCAAACATTTCATGAACTACTACTCAAACAAAAAGAAAATAGAAATTTAAATGGTTATCAAAATATCCTTGCAGTATAATTTACTTTTAAATTAGACATGATCACACTTAAACCCTAATGAAAAATATAAAGTTATGAGTGTATTTTTTTTATAAACTTTATAACAAAAAAAGAAATTTTTAAAACTTGAGGAACTTTAAAGTTGCTCTGAATAGTTGTTGTTTAATTTGTTCTTGTTTCATTTTTATAGGGCCTACAGCTTCTGTATTCTTAGTCCAACGTAATAAGTTAAACTTATATAAAGTTGTATGCAAGATTATGTGTAATATTAGAAAAAAATTTTATTAACTAAAAGTCTCTTTTGAAACTTTTTGTTGCAAAAGAGACTTTTACAACAAGCCTTCTTTTAAACTGTTTTGTTTTGAATTTTTGTATTTATGTCATTAGATTTAAAAAAATTAGCATGATTGAAAAATCAGGAAACATATTTTCTCATCAGAATAGAAAATTTTTAACTCGATTAGCTATGACTCTCTATGATAATTTTTGTTTGCTAAAATTAAGTCAACTTCTTAGGGTGGAATGCAAGAAGTGATCTTGAGTGAAGTTCGACTAAAACTTTGAAGTATGACTTTATACTTTAAACTATTAACTTACAAAAATAAATTAAAAAGTGTTACAAAAATAATAAATCTATTTTTTTAATTTTTATTAAAACCTGGTAATTTATTAAAAAACACTGGATTAAAATAAACATGCTCCTGCAACCTTCTATTTAGTCCTTGCCTCTTACTAAAATTTAAGTAATGATATTAGCTTACATTTAAATGGCATATATGCTATGCGGTTATCAGCAAAGCATAGATGTAGAACACAAGGTTTTTATTATTAAATTTTATTGCTAAAATTTAAAAAAAAAAAAAAAAGAATTCAACTCTAAAAAGGCTGCATACACTAATTACATTTGGAGTTAATAGAAAATTAATTAAAAAATATGACAACAGTTTTTAATACCAGGACGAATAAAATATTAATAGAGATAAAAAACAAAATTAGTAGAAGAAAATGGTTAACACAAGTTAGAATTTATCTAATGTACGACAGAACCTATTTTTGTTAGAACGGTTAACATGTAGCAATTAATTGATTGAGTTAATAAATTTTATACAAACTAAAATACCAACCTCAAAAGAAGACTAACATCGCTTCAGTAAACTGGTTGATCAAGTGTAATTTTGTGTTGGACTATTATTTTTTTAATTTTGAAATGAATATTTAATTCATTTTTTAATTAATTCAAGCACCGCAATTGCAATAATAGTTACAAAGTCAATTCCCTTAGGAAAATCATTGATTATATTTGTATCTGAATATCATTAACAATTGCAAAACTTTAGCAATTCCTTTATGACAATTTTATGTAAAACTCTTCTTCGACAATCAATAACGATTGTAAAGTTTTACGATCATTATTGATTGTCAAAAGAGAGTTTTACATGAAATTAGTTTTACAGTAAAACTATTTCTTTAGAGAATTTCGCACTTAATAGAGTTGAATAGTATATACAAGAAATTAAAAATAGTTTAACTTTATAATTAATTATAATAATTATATATATATATATATATATATATATATATATATATATATATATATATATATATATATATATATATATATATATATTAGGGGCCCACCGTTATATACATTTCTGAGTACAACCACTGAGTACAACCACCTTTTAATGAACGCCATAACATCTACGTATAAAAAAGCTGAACATAATCTAAACCATAAAATAAATAAGGAAAGTAAAGAAATTTTAACCAACCAAGGTGTTTAACAAAATTGAGTTAAATGGTACTTCTAATTGCTTCATCACTCTCAAAGACCACAAAGTAAACTTTTTAAATAACCCCACCGTTCGCCTGTTAAACCCAGCAAAAAACGAAGTAGGACGAATTTCCAAAACTGTAATCTCAAAAATCAATGCTACATTGAGGAAAAAGCTCTGCTTAAACCAATGGCAAAGCTTGCAAGATGTTTTACATTGGTTTCAAGGTATTAATGAAAAACACCTCTACACATTTTTAATTTTCGATATAACTGACTTTTACCCATCGATTAATGTAAAACTACTTAGCGACGCAATAGAGTTACTTAGCGACGCAATAGAGTTTGCTGGTCAGCACCTAGTTATAAATCAAGAAGATAGGAAATTTATTATGCACGCGAGAAAATCTTTAATCTTTACCAATGGCGATTCTTGGATTAAAAAAAACGGAGAATTATTTCATGTAACTATGGGTGCTTATGATGGTGCAGAAGTATGCGAATTAGTGGGAATTTTTATCTTGTACCAACTATCTCAATATTACAACGGGAAGGAATTAGGTTTATACCGGGAAGACGGTCTAGCTATATTTAAAAATCGGAGTAGCCAACAAATGGAAAAAATAAAGAAGCATTTTGTAAAAATTTTTAAAAGCAAAGGTCTCCATTTATCTATCAGCTGTAATGTTAAAATTGTCAATTACCTCGACTTAACACTAAATCTTAACAACAGTACCTTCCAACATTACTCAAAGCCCAATAACACTCTTAATTATATTTACGCCGACTCTAACCACCCTCCGTGCATATTAAAAAGTCTACCGCGAACAATTGAACTAAGATTGTCTACTGCATCTTCAAACAAAAAATTTTTTGAAAAAGCTGCTTCTCCTTATCACGATGCACTAATAAAATAGGGTTTCTCATCCAAGCTCAAATATCAGTCAGATATAGTTCCCACTAAAAACAAAAATCACAAACGAAACATTATTTGGTATAATCCCCCGTATAGTAAAAATGTTGCAACAAAAATTGGTAATCTTTTTTTAAAATTAATTGATGCAAGCTTTCCTTTTGGTCATTTATTACACAAGATTTTTTAACAGAAACACCGTTAAAATTAGCTACTCGTGTATGTCGAATGTTAAATCAGTCATTAATTCGCATAATCAAAATATTTTATACAATCATGAAAAAACAACAACAAAAACTTGCAACTGCATCATTAAATCTACCTGAGTTATGAACAACCAGTGTCTAAGTAAGAACATTGTGTATCAAGCTACTGTTTCATCCAATAAACCAGATTACACAGATAAAGTTTATATTGGTATTAGCGAGACCCCTTTCAAGTTAAGGTATGCAAACCATTTAAAATCTTTTAATTTAATTAAGTACAGCAATGATACGGAGTTATCTAAAGAAATTTAGAAACTTAAAGAAGAAAACTTTTCGTTTGTTACTAAATGAAAAATTATCAAGCGCTGCTAAACATATAATCCTTCGTCCGAAATTTGCAATCTTTGTCTTAATGAAAAGTATTTTATTTTAACGTATACAGGGGGAAATCTGTTAAACAAAAGGAACGAGTTGGTTTCAAATTGTAGGCATAAAAACAAATTCCTTCTTTTGTTTTATGATACTGCCCAGTGGGAAAAAAGACGTCGAAGAGACGTTTTTAAAAGTCTTATTTACGAGATCTTTAAGACGTCTTTTTTAATCGATTATGCAAATCTTAAAGACATCTTTTTTCGACATCGAAAATCCGTCTTTTTTTATCTTAATCTTGTCATTAAAAGACATAAAAAATGCGCCTTTAAGACGCCTTTTTTAAGTCGAATATGCAAATCTAAAAAAGTGTTTTTTCTCGGGGTCGGAACAGCTTTTTTGCCATACTTATTAGTATACTATAGTATCCTATACACTATAGTATTCCTACTTTTCTTATATGGAAAGCTGTTTATTTTCATTTTCATTTATCAAATGAAAATGAAAATAGCTCTTCATACAAAGTATGTCAAAAAGCTTTTTCCGATGCCGAGAAAAAAACCTCTTTTAGATGTCAATATAAAAGAGGAAGCATTTTCTACATCTTTTATATATTTAAATATAGGAGAATAGTTTATAAATAAAACAATAGTATTGTTCAACAGAATATTTTTTTATCTTTCTCTTTCCTTTTTGTTTCTTGAGCGAGCTCTGCTTCTTGGCGTTGTTGAATAAAATTAACAATTTCACGTCGAGAAATCCTTTCTTACGAGCAGGTTACGACTTCTAGCTGGTTACCACTTCTAAAAAACGAGTGAACATAAAAAACAGTCTATTGCTTAAATGTAATACAAAAAAAGCAAACGAAACTTGATTAGCTGAGTAGAGCACATTATACTTACCGACTATTAATTCAAAAAGGGCTGATCCTTTTAATCCACTCATGTTTCCAGCGCGTTCCCTTCTTTTTGAACCCACTAGGTTAGATTGGGACAGGAGTTAAACGGTAAACAATCTAAAAATATATAAAAATGAGTGTTCTAAATAAATTTACAACCATCAAAATGACTGTACAACGATGTATTTTATTATGCAGTACTTAAATCAAGCTAAACATTTGTACCTCTCAGATTTGCTATGAAAGCCAAGTTATTGAAAACAGATACTGATATTTTTCTGTCTTCTATAACATGATTTTTTAATTGAATTTCGCTGAAACTAAGTGTCGTAGACTCATAACAATTTAAAAATCCGAAATTGACTAAAGACTATCAAAACAAGAAGATAATTCAGCTTATACACCTTGAGAGTTATTATTCATTTAAACTAGAAAAAAGTATTATTCAAAGCTCTATTTTAGCCTCAAACATAAGGATTACTTTTTTTACTTAACAACATAAAATCATAAAAACTGGCAATATCATTAGCAACACAGATGAAATACAAAAAAAAAAAAAAAAAAAATTAAGACTAGAAAGCTGCAATGATGTTTAAATATAAGAAAGTGTACCTTTCCAGTATTATTTTCACTTGGTTTTTTGTATTCAAACCAAAAATTTTGCGAACATTTCTGAAGATAAATCTGTTGTCATTATGTGTATTTTTATAATTGCTTTATTAATGACAGACAACAGTTAACAAGGAAATAACATATTTAACATAAAAGTTGAAGACCCAATCTTTTGTATAAACAAATTCATCATTCAACTAAATAAAAACAACAAAATTATTCAGATCATTTCAAAATATATATAAAAAAATTGCAAGCCTACTGAATGCTTCTTTTCTTCTATCGTTCGTTACACTGGGACTTGAACAAGTAAATATAGAGAGAAATTGTTTACAGGTTTATTTTTCGTCTGAAAATTGATATTCTAATTTAATATGTAATAAACAACGTTCTTCAAGCACAATACATTAAAAATTTAGTCTAAAAATAAATGGTCAAACTTTTTTTAAACACTTACCTGCGACTAACTTAATTAAGACTAGATCATATCGATACCATCTTATTGGCACCACAACACCCACTTTTGCTTCTTCCGATTAACATTTTTTAGCTAAGCAGCTGCAATTGTATATTTATTTCAGTATATATATATATATATATATATATTATATATATATATATATATATATATATATATATATATATATTATTTATAAGCATTTATCAAAATATTTATACTTTGTTAAAAAAAGATCTTAGTTTTATTTGCTGCAAAAAAAATTTGCATAGAAGTTTTTAATTATGTGATATAAATAGGGTTGCCAGATGTTCGACTTTTACGAAGGAGAACAGTTTTTGGCGCCTCCGCAAAAGCCGGACGTCTGGCAACTCTAAATATAAAAAAAGTTAAACAGATTTAAGCGTTAGGTTATTAAGTAATAAACTAAGCCCTGCCTGTAAATTATATCGCGTAAATAAAAAAAACATTATTTGTAAATCTCTTCTTAGTCCTAACCTTTACTTGCAATTTCGAAATTTCCCCACTCTCAGTCTAGCCATTTTTTTCGTTCCTTCATGTGAAATAGAATAATGTTTATAATGGTAATTTTTAATCAAAATTAGGAACATTTAAGTTTTAGATGAAAATTATTCTTGAAAATCTACAACTGGTTAAGCAAAATAAAAAGCATTCATGACAGTCATGATCAGAGCTTTAGAATGATGAGGTTTAAAAATTGAAGCCATTTCTGGTTGGTAAGATAAGCGGTAACTTTCTTGTTAAATGCTCTTCCTCATTCCTCTTTAACAAAACTGTTTGGTCTTATTTAAAAAAAACTGTTTGGTCTTATTTAAAAAAAAATGTTTGGTCTTATTTAAAAAAAACTGTTTGGTCTTATTTAAAAAAAACTGTTTGGTCTTATTTAAAAAAAACTGTTTGGTCTTATTTAAAAAAACTGTTTGGTCTTCTTTAAAAAAAACTGTTTGGACTTCTTTAACAAAACTGTTTCGGCCCTTTTAACAAAACTTTTTGGTCTTCTTTAGCAAAATTGTTTGGTCTTCTTGAAGCACTCTAATAATAAGAAAAAGAAAATGAAAAAAGAAATACTAAATTTCTGATCAAGGGCCGTGATCAAGAGGTCTATTGATTCTTATTTTTATATATATTTTTTTTATTTTTATCACATCTTTTTATTGTATTTGGTATTTGAAAGATTTTGGCCTTGATAAAGCTATACTAGAGGTTGAAGATGTAAGCTGTTTTTTACAATTTATATTGTCGTGTTAGATTGTGTTTATAAATATTTTATTTTCACCTGACAACAACAAATAAAAAATTAACAAATAGATTTTCTGCATACAAAAGATAAACAATTGTAAAACTATTATACGACTATAATTAATTCGCCGAATTTCTTTGTTTGCAAATATTGCTGAATTTATATGAAACCTTAAATTTATCCAAGTTTATTTTTAATGATTAAAATTTTTTGTTTCGTGTTTAAAAAAATAAAGACTTTGCCTAAACTAAAATTGCTTAACTATAAGCATATTTACTTGATATTTACTTTTTTTTTTTTTTTTTGTATGTAGGTGTTCCCAGAAGTCCTTAGGGTCTTATCATAAAGCACCGCGGGAGAGCATTTAACAGGAAGTTCACGCCTCCTTCCGTACCAATGTCGCTTGTTGGGCTAGAGCTGGTGTCGAACCTCTGACCTCAGGGTTCTGAGCCAGAACTCTAACCACTGCGCCACGGCTGCTCAGATATTAGCCTAATGATAATAGCACAATGACAATAGCACGATGGTAAAAGCACGTGCTTTTACCATCATTATACAGTGATAATAGCAATATGATAAAAGCACAATGAATAAAAGAAAACCGTACAAATGCTAAAATGTTTTTAGACGATGAATCAAAAAATCTTTCAAATATGCCAATATCTGTTAAAAATATGCTGTGTTGATAAAATATGCTAATGTGTTGAACCTAAACAATCATTACTGCAATATATTGCTCAACTCTTTTTTTGTTTAATTAGGACTATAAAAAATGTTAATTCAAAAAAATATTTTTTCGTTTTTCTTTTGTAAATGTTTAAATAATGTGTTTTAGTGATTAAAAACATTCAATAGAAAATGATTATCGATCTTATAACAAGGTCGTCAAAATTAAAACCAGAAAACAGAAAAAATAAAAAACAACTACAAAATTAGAAATACGTCTTTATAACCAAGTTAAGTTTAGTATTAAAAAAAAAGATTTAACATCAAGCATGAATATAACAACCTGTTCGTTGTCTGAAAATATGAAATTTCAGCATTTGCTTTACGTTTTTTTTATGATCATTGTGCTTCTATCAAGTGCAATTGGAAATATATTGGTTACAGTTTCTATATTTATGTCACGTTGTTTTCGCGAACGAGTAGGAACTATATTTATAATAAGTTTAGGTAGAGTTTTATTTTAAATTACTTAAGCCCCGTGCAACTTCTAGGGCCCGCGCAACTACTGCTAAATTTACGGACTAAAAAGAAAAAGGGTTTTTTTTAAAAAAAAAGAGCTTTGAAAATTGGAGTCTTTAAACTGCTCGAAATTTTTTTACCATTACTTGTCTTTTGGTCTAGCTTAAGGTTTTTTATTTAGTACCTAGGTCCGTCTGGTGCCAAGTAGAAATAATTTTAAACCTTTTATCGCGTGGGTAATTATTATTACTTTTTTTTATTATTACTTATTTTTATTTTAGCTTGCTCAGATTTTGCAAATGCTGCTTTCCTAATTCCTTTTAAAATATCAACAAATCTACGCAATGACCAGTTTTGCCATTCAATTTCGAAGTGTTTTCTATACATCATTGTTGACTCCACTTGCAATATTGCAAGCATTTTTGGCCTTCTTTTCATTACCATTGACAGGTATGCTTAGTTATTTATTATAGTAATTTTAAGTAATTTCTAGTTTTAACAAATTTTATTATTTTTGATAGATACATAGCCATAAGATTTCCATTTCATTACACTGAGATACTTACTAGAAAACGAGCAAAGATAGTAACTTTGTTAATCTGGATTGTATCTGCAGTGATCGGTATTTCTGGAATATTTCAATGGCAACAAAACAGTTTCCTGCCGTCATTAAGTATTAAAGTAACACCATCTGAAAAGGGATGCAGGAATGAAAATAGATATTTTTACGTCTTTGTTTATTTTGCTCTTTATTTACCATCTTTGGGCGCAATGACAATTCTGTACTTAGTTATTATGCGAATTGCAGTAATGCATGCCAAAGCTATAGCTTTACAAAAACAAAAATGGGTTCCACGTGTCCAGCAAGAAAACTTAACTAAAAAACGTGGTCGAATTTTTGAAATGAAAACAACAAAAACGGTTGCTATGGTTTATCTGGCTTTTATTATTTGCTGGGGTCCTTCCTGTGTAATAAATATTATAATATTTTTTGATCAAAATGTTTTTCCAAAGTTAAAGAAAACACATAATGGCTTGTTTAAGTTTATATTTTATTCGTTTATTGAAATTTTGCCAGTTCTTACAACAACTCTAAATCCTTTCATATATAGCTTTTCAAACAAGCATTTTCGATCAGCATTTAAGAAAACGCTGAAAAAACTTTACGAAAAAATATCAAAAGTAAAAAGAAAAAAAAGTGTCACAAGTCTAACAAGTATTATAACTTTGTTAAACATAACTAATCAATCAAGAAAAAATTACATCGTCAAGAAAACATCTCTCTCGATTGAGTCATTAACAGCTATCGAAGTTTGACTAATTTGATGACGTATTCGATGAATAAGAAAAGATAAGTTTGATGAATGGTTTGGTTTGAATTTGTTTGGAAATAACTTCATCGGCTTTTTTTTTTACTTTATGATTTTTTTTAAAGTCAAGCGACAATTTTTATTAGTGCATTAACTTTGTTATTGCTTTTACTGCAATCAAAGATGATTGATACCCAGATTGTTGCCACTCGTGTAATGCAATAATATCTACAGTGGATATAAACTGCTACTCAGATGTTTTCTATCGAAAAACTATGCAATAGTTATTTATTTTATATTTAGTTGTTATTTAGCTATCATAAATAATTTTTCATAGTTAAATTTAAACAGTTAATTATTCATAGTTGCCATAGTTAATTAATGTTTCATACTTTGTCGCTTATTTCATAATATTTAGTTGTTTATTTCATAGTTAGTTATGTATTTCATAGTTATGAAATAAATAACTAACAATGAAATAAACAACTTGAAATAAATAACATAGTTGTTTATTTCATATATAAAATAAACAGTTGTTTATTTCATATATGAAATAAACAGTTGTTTATTTCATATATGAAATAAACAGTTCTTTATTTTATATATGAAATAAACAGTTGTTTATTTCATATATGAAATAAACAGTTGTTTATTTCATATATGAAATAAACAGTTCTTTATTTCATATATGAAATAAACAGTTCTTTATTTCATATATGAAATAAACAGTTCTTTATTTCATATATGAAGTAAACAGTTCTTTATTTCATATATGAAATAAACAGTTCTTTATTTCATATATGAAATAAACAACTGTTTATTTCATATAAACAGAAATAAATTTCAGATATGAAATAAACAGTTGTTTATTTCATATATGAAATAAAAAGTTGTTTATTTCATATATGAAATAAACAACTAACTATGAAATAAATAACTAACTATGAAATAAACAACTAAATATTATTAAGTAAGCAACAAATTATGAAGTAAACATCTAACTATTGTGAAACAAGCGACAAAGTATGAAATAAACCACTAACTATAGTTAGTTGTTTATTTCATACTTTGTTGCATATATTGTTAGTAGTTTATTTAATACTTTGTTGCATATTTCATAATAATTAGTTGTATATTTCACAATTAGTTTTTTATTTCAAAGTTAGTTGTTTATTTCAAAGTCAGTTGTTTGTTTCAAAGTTAGTTGTTTATTTAATACTTTGTTGCATATTTCATAATAATTAGTTGTATATTTCACAATTAGTTTTTTATTTCAAAGTTATTTGTTTATTTCAAAGTCAGTTGTTTGTTTCAAAGTTAGTTGTTTATTTTATACATTGTTGTTTATTTCAAAGTTAGTTGCTTATTTCATACATAGTTGCTTATTTTATAAATTTGCTATTAAGTTAATACATTCAAGTCTTTTAACTCAAGAGTTTCTTTTATATTTAAATCTTAGATTATTTTTACTTTGAAGTTATTTTTAGTCAGTTTAACAGTATTTTTTTTTTTTTTTTTTTCAATTTGCTGTTTGTTAAAAACAAGCAAGTTGAAGACAAACTTGACCGAGCCACGTTACGTTGATGTTTTCGACCGTTTTTAAAAGTTTACATAACTAATAAGTGATAAATAAAACAGTATAATTACATACAAAACTTCAGCAATAAAATAAACTTTTGCAAATTCCACCGGAATAAATTAAAAAAAAAAAATTCTAAAGAGAGGTAATCATATCTATCTTATAAAACAGCGTTATGTTTTATTACAAAAAATGCAATGTAAATAACATAAAACAAAAAAGGAAAACAATTAGTATCAAAAGCTAAAGAAAATGTAACAATATTAAATGAATTATTTAATTCAGAACATTTTAAATTGCTTTCAAAAAAGATATTTGAAATCTAGTATATCGAAGTCCATGTTCAATAAATATCGTTTTGAATCAGCCTTGAAAACTTTCCAAAGGGCTGTTTAAAACGAAATCTTGTTTTTAGTTAAAATTTTTCCAAAATTAATATCCCGATATTGAATTTTGTACAAGCTCAATTTAAAATGGTTTATTAGAATGATTTAGTTGTTTTCTAAAAATTTAGTATGATATTTATGAGAGATTAAAGTAAGATTTTGCTTTAAACATAAATAATATTACTTAATGAAAATTAATCTTATAAATACTTAAAGCTCCAAGCTGACATGCGTTCCTGTTTGCCCCAAAATTATCCTGCAAGCATATTTTTGTTGACTATAAATTTTTTTGTGTTTAGTGTGATTAGTTTTACCCCAGGCAACTAACGTTACAACAGGCAACGTTACAGTAAATTACAGCATTAGAGTATAAGCGTTCATAATTTTTAAGGTCGTTACTATTGGTCGTAATTATTGTGTCAAACTTATAATGTATAAACCAAGCAATTGTTTTATGTCTTTTTAACATCGTTTTTGTCTTTATGAGTTAGTGCAGTATGTTTGTTTTTCATTTTAGTCAATGACTATAACTGTGTGTTGTAGTTATTGAATGTTATTTCTGCTTATTGTTTCTGGCCATTTATTATTTTTAAAGTTTTCTAGCTTTTATTATAATTTATATAAATATAATATAAATTATAATAAAAGAACATTAGTCACTAAATTAGCGTTCTAATGTATGTGTGTTCAATATAAACAAGAAATATTCTCAAGTGATCAACTCTTTAAATAAGTGACATAAGCACGGTATTAACAGTCACAGAAGCAAAGAGCCAGAAAGACCCTAATCTTTTCCATGAACAAGTTGATGTTTGTGGCAGTGTAATAAAATAATAATTGAAATATCATACAAAACTTAATTAGGTATACCGTTAGCAACAGCTTAAAATACTAAAAATAAACTGAAAAATGATCTGCTGACCCGAGAACACCACTTATATGGAAAGAAAGCGTACATATTAAGGTACCTTATGATGCAATTTTTCAAATCTTATAATTTTGTCAACGGAAATAACTTAAATGTTCAATTTAAGTGAAACTTTGACTTCATAGAGTGCCGAATTAAAACACCTGTAGAATGAGAACCACTCTATATAATTGGATAAAAATTGGTGTAAATGTAGTCTATGGCCACACCAAATTCTGGTTAAAATATTTTTAGTCTTTGCTACTTATAACTCAAAACTTTACTGATTACTGTAATAATCGGTCACTGTTTACAAAATAATGATTACATGAGTGAATATTACATATTAAGGATCTTTTGAAACTTAATTTGTAAAAATTTGATAAATGTAGTTGCAGAAGTATAAAAAGAGAAAATTTGTGTTAAAATAGTTAAAATAGAAAGATGTTATAAAGGGGAGAATAGTTCTTTGAGGAGCAGTAAGTATTGTTTTTCGGACTGTGTCATCAAAAAGATCTTATTTAAATTTTCATTAAGTGTAAAAAAGGAACATCAATTAAAACAATTTTATGTAATTTAAGTTCCTTTTAATTTTAGTAGTTTTTAGTTAATAATGTTTAAAAGTATATTTGGTGGATTGTTCTCCAATATAATTATAGTTGGAATTTTGTAAAAAGCAGAACTTGATTTAGTGAAGTTAGACTTAGTAAAACTTATTGTAAACATAAAGTGTGTATATTTTGGTCTTGGTTAAAGTAGTACTCAGCCACGGTCAAGCGCTCCAAAATTGACCACTTCAGCCGTTGTAAATGTACAGTTAAATACGAGCCTGTCAAACAACAGTTTAAAGAAGCATATCAGTAACTGTAAACTAAACGTCAAGTAGAAAAATGCTCGAGCCAAATTTTACATGACCTTTTTAATAGCAGTTCAACATTTAAGTAGTTTCTTTACCTGCAATGACTTAAAAATCATACACCCTAACACACTCACGTGACACTTATTCGCGCCGGCCATGATTGGACTTTTACTATTATTATATTTGGACTACCATTGTGTAATTAATAAAAATTACAAATCATTCGAAAAGCAATCATTTGCAGGCTTGAACATATTCTGATATTGAAAATCATTCCACCAATGGAATTACATCTCTGCTTAGAAGTTGTCAATCATCTTTGAAGATCCTTAAAACAGCTTGTATAGAAGCTCTTAAGTTGCTAGCTGCCCGCCACCTTCAACTGAGCCTTTATCATGGAGGCTAATTTGAGGGAAATGAATAAAGGAAGCTTCTTAAAAATGTAAATGTGCTGCAACAATTTAAAACTTTCCAATTTAAAAATTCCCAACATCGTTCACATTATTGAAGCATTCAACAGTTTCAATATAGTTGTCAAAGCTTGCTTTGGATTTATTTTTCCGGATTTCGCTTTAAAAAGTTGAAAATTTTAAAAACTGTTACTTAATGATAAATTATACAATCACCCAAAATTCACACCGTCTCCTACCACATCAAAGATTTTATAAGTCAAAAAAAATCATCCTTGGGGCCATATAGTGAACAAACTGTCGAAACTGCTCATCAGGGTGTTCAGAAATTTTTTTTTTTTTGAAAATACAAGCTCCCTGGTAATTTTCTCATTTGGCTTAATAAGGTATAACCATTATTCAAATTTCAGGTCAATACCTGCTGATTTGACATTGCCGCTAGCCTTTTAAAGTTATCATGAATTATTAAAGTTTAATCTTATTCATGATTTTGGGATAATTATGCAGAACATTAATTAATACTTTTAATTGATTATAACTATGAATCTAAGCATAAAAATTGCTACTAAAACACAATGAAATAATTAACTGATTTAGACCTTTATGCAAAATAAAAAATAAATGTTTGAGATTCAAGTAATTACTAGTTTATGAAATGAGTAACAAAACAAAATTATAGAAAACTTTAAATTCCTTATTATTTGTATATAACTAATCAATTGGAAACAATATTACAGATATTAAATTAAAGTGTTTCTATATTAGATTCAAATTCACTAAAACATATTTAGACGAGATAAAATTTAAAGACGAGATAAAATTTACAAAAGAAAAATTATAATAAAATAAAAACTGTATAAATTGTAAAAATATGTATTTCCATTATAAAAGAAAATGTTGGTAACTGATGTTCCAATAAGTCCAACAGAGTTATATTCATGCATTTACATACATATTTATTAAAAAGAGTTCTACTTTTTCATCAACATTAATGCTTTATCAAACTTTGGTATGTTCCTTCTATGCTGTTCTATGTTGGACTAATCCTGCCCCATTCATGATTTTTGGAATGCCCAGCAACTTTCCTTCTACATTATTTGGTGCACCTGCAATTAAAACTGTCAATCGTTCCCCATCCCCTTCAATAATTTTTACATACCAATGAATTGT